CTCACTTTCATGTAGTATCCGCTTCCTCTCCCGATCTTTAGTACGCTGTTCCCGGGTCATGATGCGCGAGCGTCTTTCCGCCTCCAGCTTCTTCACTCTTTCTTCCTCTTTGCGGGCTGCGGCTAGTTCCGTCTCTCGTTTACGTGCTGCTTCAGCAGCCTCACGCTCCTGTCGCTCTTTCTCAGCCTTTCCGGCGATCCGGCTGGATCTTTTAGCGCCAGCGAGCAACTGCATGTTGAAAAGCTCCTTCTCGCGTTTCTGTTTCTGCCTCTCCTGGGCCTCCTCTTCCTTCTCAATGATGGGCATGACCTGTTCATCGATCCTATCCCTCAGTATTTTCTCATTGGGATCCCTTGTCTTCCTTATGGACTCAAGGAACTGCTTGTAATCGTCTAGTGTAACGGCAATGCATTCCCACGTCATCGCTTGCAGAGGATCCTCTGAGGCGTCGCCGTTCACAGCATTATCTTCTTCATCGGACTCTTCAATAGGATCGGCGCCTGTAACACGTCTTCGTTTAGAGGCTCTCATGGCGCGGGCGCTCTTTCTCCTCGACTTTGACTTGGCCGGTTTTGGCGGTGGAATAGGGGGGTCGGTGCGGCGATAGAGCCTGTTATCATCGAGAATATAGTAGTAACGGCCTTCACGATCGTAGCCTACTTCTTCGATACGCTAGCAAAGGTCAGTAAGAATGCTAGCAATCCAGGGGTAGTGTCACGCAAAACCCACCCACTCCGTCTGATCCAATTCCCTCTGCTCCGGCATCTTTTCGCGGATGCGATCGGGATTCCAAAAGGTCCAAATCGACAGCTGGTGCAAGACGCGCAACTTCAAGAACACATCGAAGTCCAGGAACCTATTCGGAACCTCCTCATACCCGAAAGGGTTAGGAATGTGCGGTGCTTTCGCATTGTACTGACGTCGCGTATACTCATCGAAGTTATCGAATCTATCAGCGAAAGCATCCTATTAGCATAGCCACACTTATGGCGAAACCAAAGGTACACGTACGTGAGGCCCCGATGCGACGACACCCATTTCAAAAGACAGAGTCCAATCTCTAAGAGTTTCTCGGAAGGGGTAGGCTTTAGACACTCAGTTTCTAGGTCCTACAAGCAGAACATCAGAGTAGAATATTAGCATTGACCTAACGCGCCCAAAGGTAAAGGAATACTAAAGTTGTTGGATTTGCACTACTCACCTCAATCCCGAAATCCTCGTCAATCTTCATGACTTTACCGAATATGGCAATGTATTGCATGAGGCTTGCAAACTCCCAGCAGTTCCGAAGCTGCTGGAGTAAACCCGGCTCCTCAGGTGGCTGCTCTGGGGCAGCGTCCACCTCGGAGCGGGTGCGCTTTCGCGATACCATGAAGGCGGATATAGACCATTAAAGGCGCCGCGGCGCAGGACAAGATTCGACCACTGCGGCGGATCTGCGGCGGGGGCGGGAGTTCTGAGAAGGGGTAATTATCGCAACGTATTTGCAACAGAAGAATGAACACAGATGTCTTTACCAAATGGCGGAATGAGTGGGTATCGACGTGATCGACAGCGGCGTGAAGACAGGAAATCGTTCGCCAGGGCGGGCGTGTCGGGCTGGGCAGAAGAGATGAGCTCACAGAATCGCCGGGCGGCGCGTCGAGACCCCAGTCAGGTGACTTCCATCCGCCGATTGGGTCGATCCCGTGCCGATAAGCCTTGCGCTGTCGATGCGATCCGACTGCTCACATTTACCATAGCCTCGTGGATACTACTATTCTTATGTTAGAATGAAGATATAAGCTCATATTAATAGATACTAGAATGGAAGGTTTTATCGTAATAATAGTTCGCCTCCGCATGAAACCAGGTCAGGAGAAAATGAAACTTAAGCAACACGCAGAATCAGCACCACCCAACGAAACATAAAACTAGATCTTGGTATCTCGCTCAAAGAGGGTCTATCTCACTCAGATGGAGGATGGGGAATGGGGAACATAGAGGATAAGCAAAATGCACACAGACAAATAGCGCCAGCCGTATCCACGCCACCGCACAGCCATACCATTATGGCCGAAGGGGAACGAAGTGTTGGACAAACAAAAACAAAAATAAAGAAAGGGTACAGAGAAAAAGCCGCAGCAAAAGCCAGGGAAGGGAAGAAAGAATAGATGATTAGCAAAACAACAGAACCATTCGAACCATAACAAGACAGAAACCCCCAAGCCCAGTGCTCCCATACCCGCCATGTCTTCTCTTTTCTCTCTGTTGATTTTGTGCAACTTTCCTGAGATCGCGTCATTGCATTGCCATACCACACAGTTTGCGCCTTGTATTCCGTGTTTCGCCTAAGCCCGCCCCATGCATATCGTAAGGTTGTCAAATATACCAAGTAAACCAAAAGGAAAACAAATGCTTTTGAACTTTTTACATCGCAACACCAGGTGCGCCATCGGAGACATTATCCGAAAGGTTGATGAGAAGCTGAGCCAGGCAGCGCTTAGTGGCGGCGTCGTCGCGGAGTACGGAGGAGAACGTCGCATCGCGCAAGGGTTCCGGAAGGCATTGACGCAGCGCCTCTCGCGCCCTGCTGTTATCACTCAGGCTACAAAAGTCAGCATTTGAAGTAGAAACGAATCAACTAAAACATTTTGAAGGAATCCGCGTAAGACTCACCGAAGGAAGCAGCGCACTACATGCTTGAGAAGTCGTACTGTCTGTTGCTCAACAAGTTGAGTGACCATATTACTTAGAACAGTTCCAACCGCATAAAACCTCTCATAGGTTGCGCAAATGTACGCGAGACCGATATCGTCAAGGAGAATCTTCTGCACAATAAAGATTGCGACAGTTTTGCTCAGTTCTGAGCCGGTCTCCATAATCCGTAAGCAAAGGGGAATGATCTCTGTGGTAAGGAGGAAGTTGATGACATCGGATGAGTCATTCTTAACCAACGCCCCGATTACGCCGAGCGAGGTGAGGCGGAGATACTCGAAGGGCCGCGACTTTGACGTTGTGTTGAGGAAAGGATAGAGGAACAGAGGAATGTGAGCTGTTCCGAACGAGAATTTGTTAGTCAAGTCACATACAACTTAGAACCGAAGGGTGGGGTGGATGGTCCAGGGTGACGGCTGCGTACCATTAAGAAACAAGGTGCGAGTCTCGTTGTGGGAAGCCACACACTGCAAGAGAGCCAGCGCATTGCAGACCCGGTTTGATGCAGCCGCAGTCAATTGCGATGGGTTCAACAAAGGGTATACGGAGATGATTTCCTGCAGTAAAGCGGTCATGACGCCTGAAAAACCGCCCGTTAGTCGCCACCGACAAAGCTGATCAAAGGGGGTGATTTCGTACCGAAAGAGTGCCAAATAACCAGCGCGAGTTCCGGAACTTGCTCTCTCTTCTTGCTGAGTTCCATAAGGGCTGCTTCTCTGCGACTCGGATCGAGAAGCTCTGCGACCCAGATGAAAACTTTCCGATTCTCATCACTGATGCCACCATCCATCACGGACACCGCACCGGGCAACGCACCGTCCCCACCAATACCCCCTGCACCAGCCCCTTGAGCGGAATTACCGGCACCGGCGTTTCCAGCCATGGCTATACGAGTATAGTGTTGTTGTTGAGCGGCTGCGGCTGCGGCTGCGGCCGCCTGGACTTGGGCATGCTGTTGGGCGACCAACGAAGAATGCGGTTGCTGAGCCTGGTGCGGGTGGGTTTGGTGATGCTGCTGTTGCTGCAACCAGGTCGGATCAGCCTGCGGATACTGGTGCTGATGAGAAAAGACGTGCTGAGTCTGCGTTTGAAGCATGGCGGGCCAGCGAAGAATCGGAGCTCAACGGGACTCGTAATCCTCAGGAGGGAAGACTTGACAGCCCTGGATGATCGGGGAAAAGCCGGACGAGGGCAAAATGAACTAAGATGCTGAGTAGGTATTGTCAGGACCGTATACTCGAGAGTAGCCTCATGGATAAGGGTTTTCGAATACAAGAGTTGAGAGTTGTGGGCGAGGGGAGGGGGTGTTGTGAAGATGGCGTGGGAATGACAGCGGGATTGAAGGACAGGCGAGCGTGAAATGATGGATGGAATGGCTTGGGACTACGGGAGGCGGGGAGTCGCAGGTTCCGCCCGGGCAGTTTGTGCCGTCGACGAGGTGCCGAGCTTCATTCACTCTCTGGACCCTGTCGGACTCGAACCGCTTCGATCGGAACAACTTGATCGCGTGGATCGGTAACACGAATCTCTTCATATTTCTTATCCCTTCAATTCACCCTTATTACCAGATCGATGGAGTCTAGTTGTTCTATGATGACAATTCCCTCTATCTCTGTCTTGGGTTGGCATGCTGACCGTTGATGGCCGCCTTGCAGCTGCAGTTATTGGATAAACGCACGAGTTGCTCCGGCAGGTGCATGATTATCGAGAATCAGCTTAGGGGTGCACTGACACTGGATCTTTGGAAGCTGTTATCTTTGCTCTGATCCTTCATATACCTGTAACTATCCCTGCGCCGGCTTTTAAGGGTCGTGTGCGAGGGTGACTTGTTACTCTGGCTATGTGGAAGTCCCTATCATAGCTCTCACCGTTGCTGGTCAGGGATGTTTATTACTTTTAACGTCCTGGCAGATGATGTATGATGTAGGTACAAGCAACTGATGTTCTTCATATGTACAATGCTGTTCCTTGTCAATTTGTATGAAGCATCTTATTTACAACAGAGTTTCCTTCCGCATCTTTCAATAATAGTTTTGAAGTGACAGAAGCAGGGATGGAGAACAAAGACAACTCGACAAAGAAAAGGGATAAGCAGAAACATTCAAGGGCATTAGAACATGAATACATGTCTCATCATCGTACATTGCAGATCTTTCGAACACGAAAGAAGAAACCATCACACATCAACCATAAACCCGAATAACGCCTGTTCATGCAAAATCGATCGAATAATGAAATCATAACTAATAGTTCGTTGTATTTCGGTAAGTCATTCTTTTTCGTTAGTTGGAATCATAAAATCATCATCTTCGTGAACGCGTGCGAGATCGTCTAGTTCTTCTGGTGTCTCTCGTCCGCCGATCATCTGTCACAACGCTTCCTACAATATTGTTAGCATCATCGTATCGTTGTATGAGAACAAGAGGGTACTCACCATCATTGGTATAGTAGTCAGAGGAGTAGTAACTGTAGTAGGTGCTCGGATACGTGTAATCGCTCTTCTCGTCCACGTCACGATGGTCTCTGCGCCTCTTCAACCCAAGGCACAGCGCGATCGCACCCAGGACGATTCCAATTGTCGCCAAAGCACCCATGCCAGACTCCTTCTTCTTACCGCCACCTGCTGTTGATGGCGCCGGTCGACTGCCGAACCAGGTGCGTTGCTCGGGCCTAGCCCCAGAAGAAGAATGGTGACGACGACGACGTTCTTCAACGTAAGTGGTTTCTCTCCGCTTCCTACCGCCACCGAGACCAAGGCAAGCAAGCACAGAATCAAGTGCTCCACGGCAACACATACAGGCGCAAAGGAGTAACAGAAGGAACACGCCAGCAATTGTTCCAATAACAATGCCCGCGATGGCTCCGCCGCTGAGTCCTCCGCCGGAACCCTTCACAACCAATGGCGTGCCGCTTGTGCTCACAGGGGCAGTGAAAGGCTCAGTAGTGGTGGCCGTTTGAGTTACAGTCGATAGCGTTGTTCCGCGTACGGGGGGTGTGGCAGTTGCGGTTGCCCAGATTGACGTGCTTCCCAGGATACATTGATTGTTGGAGCAGACATATGCAGGGCCGCAACAGTCGCTGCCGCAGACCGTTTCACCATACTCGGCATTGCAACTGCCAGTGCTCGTTGTTGCCGAAATGTAGGAGCTCCATGTTGAAGTAAAAGTCGCACGCTCTGTTTCGGTCACGACATACGTGGTGGTGTAATACTCCCAGCTTCCGGAACCGACGCACTCAGCTTCGCCATCACTGTTGGTGCTGCATGTTTCGCTTGAGCTGCAGCAAAGCTGGCTATAATAACCGCAAGGATTCGAACAGCGCTTCTCCAAGGTGGCCTCCTCGAGACTTCCCTCGGGTTCCAATGGTGAAGCTATCGAGAGTTGAAACTGACTTAGTAGGGCCAGTATAGATAAGGTCGACGGGATTATGCGAGACGCATGCATGGCGAGGGGAGAATGTAGGAATTTCCACAACCACGAGGCCAGCCCACGATGCGACCAAAAGCAGCTTTGGATTGCGATCGCTGCCAGGGACAAATTTGGGAAGTTCCGATGTATGACTCGATGTAGGGTCTTGGTATGACAAGGGAGGTATAGAACGAGAGACAGCGAACGAAAGGAAGCCAAGCAAATAGATGGAATGCGAGAGACCGTCACAGGTAGCTTGCAGAGCAGAGATCGAAAGAATGCATATCAGTTGAGGAGAAAATGTATGGAGGGTTAGAGAAGAGAAGTCGGAGCAGGGTGCCATCCCACGAGCAGCCCGTCCGCCCTTCTTGATCCCAGCCTCCGTCCGGTCAACTTCCCAACCACCGCATTTCCTGTGACGACCACCACCAATCACTGTTAGGCCGAGTGAATCAGCGATGAAGATAAACTTAGCTCATAATTTAAAAAAGGAAATTTCGGAGGCTGGGATGTCCACTTTTCTTGACTCTGCATGTTGTTGCCCCGCCGTGATCCAATGGCAGAGAAATGGCCGATGATGCCGTTGCTGCCCCTCTCATCACCAACTTCTCTCCCCTCAGTTCCTGACAGCGTCATTGTCAGCACCCAATCGTGTCTGTGGGCGAAAGGTCCGGAACTTGGACAGACCCGGCCTACTGCGTTGTCGGCTCCACCGCTAGATTATCTTTTTCTCTTCCATGGTGAGTCGGTCTAGCAAACGCTGCTTCTGATTCGATGGAGGTACGTCCGTCAGGTACTGACTGCATGGGCCTCCATCCATCGGCACAAATCAGGCGAGGACCGTGTAGTGACTAGTAGTGACTACACCTACGTGTCACCCAACGAAGGGGCCCCATGTTTAGGCAGTGATTTGGCGCGGGTGACTCAATATCCGTAAGTACTTAGTTACTCTAGAAGTGCGCATTGTCCGTGACCTGACAATCACATACTAAATTCTTTGCTATCCGGTGAGCCCTAATAATGATGTGGTGGTGAGGCGCCATTGATGCAACTGGATCTCCCTTGTCTGTAGTGGGAGCAACAAGCTCACAGTACAAGTTCCCAAAATACTAGAGAAGGGATCATAATCTGATCATTCATAATTTTAGATGTCATTGCTATCCTAGATGCTCTTGTTATATACAAAACGCCACAAAATCATGAGACCCATTATACTGATAGCTGCCCAACTATCGCCCTTCATCAATCAATTCGTAGATACATCCCGTCGTTTCTTTCAGCTGCCCAAAGAATGGGCGTCCTCAACCGAAGTAGTTGTCGCTCGAGTGTCGCAGTTGTCATCGTTAACTTCGAGATAAAAAAAAAAAAAAACTGTTCACGTCACTTGAGCGAGCATATGTCCATATCTCGTACATGCATATCCACATGAAAATCAAGCGTGGTCGTAATTTCATAGAAACATCCCGGCAAGTCCAATGAACATGCCAAAGAAAAGGTCCTCCAGACTGGAACTCCGTCTGGGCATCGTTCCCCGGTTCTCATAGACATCAGTGCTGTAACTGCCGCAGTAACCGATGCTGAGACCGTGGCATGCCTCCATACTCAGACTAGAGCATGTCGATATAGCTGCAGAAGCGCCTCCTCCAGCGCGAGTGACACCTCCTCCTTCGGCAGCCACAGTCACAGCATACCCTCCTCCGAGTTGCGAAAGACAGCCGGTATATTCGCTCTGACATAGAGAGTAGTATGATGTGCAAACGCGCGCGTTGGCGAACGATGTCGGGATATTGACAAATGGGTATGCTCCGGCAATTGTAGAGCCCGTGAGAGTCACACTCGTTCCATCTGTAGTCTGTGTAGCCGTCGCTGTCTGGGGAAATCGGAAGCTGCTAGTTGCACCACCCCCGGAGTTTCCAGTTTCTGAGAGCGTGCCGGTACAGCTTGCTCCCGTCGGGCAGCAAGCGACATTGTCAGCGGCGTCGCGAGTGCACCTGCTACCATCGGCACAGCATATATCCGAGTAGCCTAGGTTTGTGCAAGAATCATATCCAGAAGGACAGTTGTCGCTCCGCTTCCTTAATAATTGCAGTACTTCAAAGGCCCTTCGTCCGGAGTCTGCATTGCGAGGTGAATAGAATGGTATAGTATCGATCGATGGAGCTGGTGTTGTCTCTAACGAAAGAACAGTCGAAGCGAGGAATGCGGCCGAGATCCACCCGAAGAGCTTCATTGTCGAGGCTTAGGGCTACAGCGCGCCCTCCGGATATGATGGGACAGGATATCGAAAATATACGTCGGAATGCGTCACCGGCGCAGCTGGAAACTGCGACCTGTTTAATCGTATGATCTGTCGAGGGCCAGTATTATGCGACGGCTTTGCAGCGGCGATCAACAGATTACTAAAAGCGGTAGAAGTAGATGTCAGTAGTGGTCGATCAGGGTAGCGCTTGCAAGTACACAGTAGCTCAACGAACATGATCCAGGGCGGATAAAAGCACACTTACGTGTTGCTAAAAACTCTTCTTCCTGTAGTAATTTCTGCCGGGTTCGCCTCACTCGAGCAAGCCGGTTTGAACACCGGAAAGTGTGGGTGATGGATGCTGCATCTTTAGGTTGTTCAGGCCGCGCCGGGTCCACTGCGATCCCCTGCCACAGCAACGGAGCGTCGCCTGTGGCCCCTCAATAACCAGCCACCCGTGCAAAGATGGGACTTGTCCACCTATTTTTGGCCCGCATTGATTGAAAATCTGCACCAGAGCCAGGAAATCACCCGGCACTCCGCCGGTCTCCATACTCTTTATCACCGAGTGGATAAATACTGCTCCAGCTCCGATCTCAGGGTCTGCTACTCACCGGATGATGTCACTTTACATCTCGGACAACTAACTACACCACGTGAATAGTAAGCTTACCTCGAGTCGTTTGAGATGATCGTTATACACTCAAGAGACCATACCTGCTGGGTATACGAATTCATTCTTTCTCTTGAAAGTGGTGTTCCCGTAATTTCTTTTCCTTCCACGGTCGTAAAGCATATGATCGGCCAGGCGATTTGGAAACTAAGCGCCAGTTCAGCTAATAGTACACTAGCCATCCTTCTCACAACAGGTCCTGGGAAGTGTTGTTGTGAGGTCTTCTTCTCGGCGTCCTAACTGGCCAAATATTATCCCTCGAGCTTTGAGATACTATCAGAATCTAAGTTGTTCGATATGCCTTGTTCTGCGAACTCTACCCAGATGCAGATCCCCGTCGTGGACTTTTCGCAGTGGTACAACAGCCAAGATGCCTCCTCTCGTCAACAGGTCGCACATGCACTGGTCAAGGCTTGCCAGGATGTCGGGTTCGTATATATCGTGAACCACTCGCTTTCTGGATCGGTTCTGGATGAAGCCTTTGACTGGATGAGACGCTTTTTTGAGCTCTCAAGCGAAGACAAGATGCGGGCCCCACATCCGGAGGGCTGGGCTGTACATCGAGGCTACTCATGGCCCGGTCTAGAAAAGGTTTCTCAAGTCATGAGCACCGGAGATGACGAGGACGCGCGGAAGAAGCTGAGAGAGGTGCCAGATGTCAAGGTTTGTAAGATCTTATGTCGCCCCAGTGAGCTATTAGACAGAAATCTTCTTTATAGTTGTCGCCTTCGAGTCTTATATTGAGATTCGGAATGACGTTTGAGCACAGGAAATCTACGATATTGGCAGCGAAGAGAATACCTTTCAGCCCAACCAGTGGATACCGAAAGAGACACTTCCTGGCTACCAGGACTTCATGGTCCGATTTTACTGGGAGTGTAATAAGGTTGGAAGCGAGATACTACGTGCCTTGGCTACCGGCCTTGACTTGGAGGATGAATGCTACCTGACGAAGAAGCACTCAGGCCACAACAACCAACTCCGGTTGCTGCACTATCTGCCTGTGCCGGCGGAAGAGTTGGAGAAAGAGCGAACCGCCCGATGCCCGGCACATACAGACTGGAGTTCCATAACCATGCTCTTCCAGGATGACTGTGGTGGCCTGGAAGTAGAAGACATTTTTCGGCCCGGCACATTCGTCCCCGCTACTCCATTGAAACATGCCATCATCATGAACATTGGGGACTTATTACAAATGTGGAGCAATGGTTTGTCTTAGCCCCTTCCCGCAACAATAGTAGTGGTGTGAAATGGGTCATCTTTCTGATCTATAATATAGATCGTCTTCGGTCAACCAACCACCGCGTCAGACTGCCGCAACTCTCAGATCGATTTGAGGGGCCCGACCGGATGACACGGGAGCGCTACTCAATTCCGTACTTCATGTCTCCTGATCCAGACGTGAACATTGAATGTATTCCGTCATGCATGAGTGAGGCATATCCGGCCAAGTATAAGCCAACCACCCAAGCTGAGCACAACAAGATGCGAGCCTCAATGATGTATTAACTCTGTATATGCCACTATTTGCCAAAATCCATATTTGTTAATTCTTCCATGAAGATTGTACATCTATAGTTGTTTTGCTTGAAGCCCTAAGCCCTAGACTGATGTCCGAATCCGGTATCCTCTACCGCCCGGGCCTCGGAGCCAATAATAGCGGGCGGCCGATGTGTTCATCGTCGAGCTTGATCAGGACGATAGGTAACCAACAAGCAGTCTTTCCTGTTACTCTCATACCAGATCCACGAAGCTTCTTGACCAACCTCAGAGAGGTTATTGCTTTATTACTGGGACAATCTAAATACACGCCTTCTTGACCCCGACGACGCGACTTCTCTCGACCCCAGATTACCCCTCAATATCAAAGCGGGACTCCCCTCCCCTTAACCCAACATGTCCATTCCCAACGAAGCTCTGCAGAAGGTACCTTGTCCTAGCAACTCTATTTCATAGTCATAACTAATACGTTCCGGTCAAACAGCTTCTGCAAGAAATCGAGGTTCAGGCCATTACCTCCCAACAACAAATCGGCGTCACGAAGGCGCAGATCACAACTAAGCAGAGAGACATCCGCATGCTGGAGCTGACGTCCAAGGAGATCAGCTCTTTGCCTAAGGATACAAGGGTATATGAGGGTGTTGGTAAGATGTGAGTCTACTGGTGGCTACTATATCACCCTTCTAAGGATGGCATGAAGACGGAAGAATCTCGCGGCCATACTAACGGATACAATTCTCATAGGTTTGTGGCTGTCCCCATGAACACGATCGACAAGCGCCTGACAAGCGAGAGCGGAGATTTGAAGACGGATATTGCTGGCTTGGAGAAGAAGCTGCACTACTTGGAAATGACGCATAAGAACAGCCGTGAGAACCTGGAGCAGATCCTGAAGTCCGGTGGAAAGGCGTGAGGGGCTGTCTCATCAGTGGGAAAGAAATGAAAGATGAGCACAAGGAATAAATATATCATACCGATAATAGGTGCCGTTGTGCTGGGCATACGCCCGCCTCTGGTGGTGACAGAATGGGACGGCAATCGCAGAGCGCTGCACGGGAGATATACGCTAGGATGGGGATCCTAGGGGGCAGCCTCGTCTGCTGCGCTGCGCTCTGATCTCCTTTACATCATGGTATTGTGAAGGCTGCCTTCGCTATCAGTGGTCATATTACGCCCTGCTGATGCGCTGAGCGCTCGGCGTTAATTGGATTTGCTTAGCGGTGTTTACAGGTATTTCAGTATGTATCACCAGCTCGCTAAATTATAGCCAATCAAGGGTTTTCTTGTTATACTTTCACAGAATGATTCCTCGCCATTCCATAGGCAATTTAGATCATGGCCCTCCTAGACCTCAATGACGCTGTGTAACTATAGCTAACAGTCTATCCCGGAACAATGAGACAGTTGCCTTTCTCGAGCCCCAGAACCAAATAGCTCTCGTCATACCACCGTAGACCAACATGTTGCCAATATTGCAAACTTTGATTGGTGTTCCATCTATGCTATAGATTGCATGCCTACGGACGCCACGAAGAAGCCCCACTATAGAAGTACTACGTAACACAAAACGTCGCCATCATTACCAGTCAACGTTATACAATGCAATTACCCAAGGACCTCGAGTGCAGAGCCGTGGCACAGAGATGCTATCCATGCTCAATTATTAGGAAACAACTTGTTCTGTCTCACACTTTGGGAGCAATTATCAGGGTAGGTGAGAAATTATCCTCCTGTGCCCAGGCTTTTGACCTTGACTCACTCATCCTCCAGGATCTTAGAGAGTCAGTTCACACTATAATGGAGGCTTTGACCTCTACGCGACAGCGAATATGAACGAAAGAAAGGGTTCGGAGATGATAGTTGCACAGCTTCTCATCCCGATTTCCCCGAGTCTAGCTTACGAAAGTTCACGCTATATGCTGACTAGGACTTAATTTGCGAATATACGCAGTATGAACATCTACTTGAGGCATCTTACTTCGTATAGTATCTCCAGTCATTGTGGATGCATAACCCTTGTCTTTGTGCTTGTGGTAATGAAGCAGGGATTGCCCTATCGTAAGAATACCAAAGTCACGTACTCGCAATATTTATGTGACCACTACACTCTCCAGGGATAGCAATGATGTAGCTTGGTGAAGCTATCCCCTAATTTTTGGAGGACGTACAGCTGTTCTGACAAATTGAGACTATTGAGTTGTCTGCTCCGGAGGGAAGGGGATGAGAGTTCATTAAAGGAGCCATAATCATTATAGAGTAAGCGCTAGCGTCATCGCGCCCAAAAGGAACTTGCAGGATCAATATCGAATTACACATTGCGTTCCATACGATCAAGGCCCACTGGAGCTCGGAAGGAATGCGTCCACGTGGTACGCATGGCAGATGTGCAGCACCGAACAACACCCAACACAATCATCACCATCCGACTTGCAATGCCTCTAAGACTCGGCTAACCTCGGATTTGCTACTTACATACTATAGGCTGATATCTTTGCTACTAATTCACGAAAGCATGTTTTTTCTAGAATTATCACTGCCGTTCCTTCATGGAAGACTTGAGGCGGTGCAGCCGAATACGAGATCCTGGTCCTCCTGCGTCTATACAAGCTTTTGATCACTGTCTTGTCATCTACCATTTCGAAATGTATCAGCCATGCTTCTCCGTGAGTACTAACTTGAATCTCGGATACACTTTGGTGTCAACTCAGTTTACTCGGCCCGTTCAGTTTGAGGCAGGGAAACAAGCATCCAGCAAGGGACTATAAGAACAATCGAAATGGAGCCAAGGGATGGGTATTTCGCAGCACAATCATAACCACCCTCCTCTACAGAAAGCACTAGCACCATCAAAATGCATTCTCTCCAGATCTTCACTTCTTCTCTTGCTATCGGCCTCGCGGCAGCGGCGACTCCTTCCGGCTTTACTCCGTCTGTCGATGCGGACGTTGGCGTGGTTTTCACCGAAGATGAAAGCCACCTAACTCTGACTTCTGGAGCCTTGATCAATCAAAACTGTAAGCTTCATTCATCTTGGACGCGCATAAGCACTATTGATATTACATACTCACAACGCTTCCACAGGGACCATCAATACTCCTACCTTGTACCTAGAGGACACCACCTCCACTGAGGACGAGTACGTCATCATCATGATCGACCCAACCATCAATGAGGATGGTGTCTCAACGGCCGCTCTACACTGGTACCAGCCATACTTGGCCTATTCGTCTGGTGTCTTGGAAATCAGCAACACGAGCGCCCCAAACGCGGAGTACGTCTACCCGACACCGCTGGAAGGGCCTGCCCACGATTACATCCTGCTGCTCTACAGCCAGCCAGAGGACTACTCCCTGCCTGTCTGTCTCGAGAGCTTGCTGCCTGCAACAGACGCGGCCCGTCTTGGCTTCAATATTGATGAGTTCGAGGAAGTAACGGGCTTGGGTACTCCCGTGGCGGCGAATTGGTTTCAGGTCGTGAACCCTACCCCTGCCACTACCACCTATGCGATCACGTCTACTCTCGTTTCCACATACGCGTGTGAGGCCACCGCTACTTCTAGCTCATGAGGGTGTCGAAGTCTGTTGGATAGTGAGGAGGGGTCGTTCTGTACTTATGAGTATGGAGATGCGCTCTGGATGTCTCTGTGGGCTTTGGCTTACTGGAGGATAACAACAAATCACTGTACAAATAACATGGATAGATACTAGTATAGAAATTTCTAGACTAATTAGCTTGGACGCACCTATGTCAGTACCCTCGCATACATCTTACCGGATAAACATTTCCATGAAACTTAAGAAATCAAAGCGGCCCCAAAAGCCAAGGATTAATTGTTCCTGATAAGCGGCACATTTACACAGCGTCGAAATATTCTATAGACGTTTCATAATCTTGCCACAGAAAAGCGAACTGCGGGCAACATGTTGCTTTGCTAAACCAAGTCAGCTCTCGCACTCATCCGAACATAGTTGGATAGATCGCTGTACTAAGATATGACGCAGCTAGTACACCTTGGCTGAGTCACTAACAGCCTGAAAGACTGCCAAAGACACTCCCCTAGCGCTTGCTCGTATTTTCTTTTCATCTGAAATAAAAATACAGACTGAGTACTGTTCAAGCAGATTCTATATAGGTGTTATGGTTTTATCGCTCATACTACCATGCGGTTTCTTGGTCTTCATATATCAAAACCTGGTTTATCAGCCTTTGTGTATAAGTATAAAAGTTTACAAGAAGATTTCATGAGAAAAGACTTGAGAATTTCTATTTATACTTGGTGTAGAGAGTGTGGAATAAAAGAGTAATGAATCTAAACCCTACTACTCCCTGGTCTCTCGCTTAAGTATATACTATCAAATATATCCCTTTTTCTGGTATTAATATATACTTGTCTAGTATTTTCGTTTATTTTAAATTAATTATGAGGATTAAACCTACTACACTTCTATACTTATGGATGAGAGGAGCTCCTTTTAAAGTACTTTCATAACAGCAGGCTGCCCATGAGGGTGAATGGCACGTGGGCGTCCCTTGGGAGTCCGTCTCGCTCCCCGACTGGCAGTCGAACGCATATCTCCCGCGCCTGTCCCTTACAGGGGGTGACAAGCGGAAATCATGGCCGTTAGACAATCAAGGACCTATTCTAACAGCTAACAAGTCAGTGGTTTCCTCCAGTCCGCTTCCCCGCCCCCACCCCTTGCAGGTAGACTACACCGATCGATCAGCATCCTCGATTGATCAAATTATCTCTATAATCTAGCTTTTTGAGGGCGTCTAAACCTTTTCTATAATCGAAGTCACTTCAATCTAGCCTCCACAACCCCAACAGGTACTCCAGGAGCACGCCACACCTTAACCAACTCCAAGCCCGAGATATCCAAGAGATGGGCCCAGTCCTTCGTCGACCGTTCGAGGCCTCCAAAGGTCATCATCGTCTGATCCATCCAGGCATGGAACATCGATCCGCCAACATCAGGCACAATATGCTCAGTGATTAGCACACGAGACTTCTCTCTATCCATGGCTCCCGCCAAGTTAGATAAGATCTTCTGGCTTTCGTCGTTGGGCCAGTTGTGGAGACAGCGTCGAATATAGTATGCCAAAGCTCCTAACATAGTATAGATCGATCAGTTTCAATTTCTTCAAGCATTTCGGAATGGAAAAGACACGTATAAACGTACCCTTAACCGGCTGTGGCTTGAAAAAGTCATGTCCCATGACCTCGATGCCGTACTTTTGAATTTCGTCACCGTTATCCTCTATCACACTCGCCTGGTCTTGAAGAATGAACCGGCCCTTGAGTTCGGGCTCGGTCTCCTTAATTTGCCGAATGACATGGCCCCGACCACCCCCGATGTCAACTAAAGTGACTGTATCATCGCTTGCCAGGGGACCTAGTTCCTGAGTGAATGGATACAGGCCCGTTGTGACTAGCATTGAGTCCGCGGCCTTCATGGACTCGTTGAAGCGGCGGAAGTTGCTAGGATTTTCGTACAGATGCTCAAAAGCAGTCTTGCCCTTGCAGTTGTGAACCAGTGTATAAGGGTTGTTGCGAAGAGTTATCTCGTTCTTCCAGTTCTTTTGACGGAGGAAATCGCAGTTCCTCATCATACCGGGGACGAAATCGTGCATCCTGCAAAAAGTACTTTAGCTCTGATCCGTCGTTTTGCTAAATGGTATGGCTTAGGAACACACATGGAGGTGTAGACTGCCCGCATTTGTGGCACAAGATAGATTTCCGAGAAGGGTGTGTGGGCGTACTGCTCCTCTCCAACCTCACGGAAGGGACCAACTGGAGTGGCAGCACGCATGTGTCGAACTATTCCAATCGCTTGTTAGTCAACCGGGTTCAACAATCAAAGAAGTAGATATGCCATCTAGAACACCTACCAACCAATTCTTTATCCATCCCCGTCTTCTCCGATATCTCAGTAGCTGAGATACTCTTGCCTCCGGTAGGGATCGCTTCGAAAACGCCAGCCTCCAGAAGTGTTCGTATAGCTCCTGTGTTGGCAGCCTAAGAAAATCCAATAGTCAGACACCTGAATCATTATAGAGCAGGATTATGACCTACATTTTCAAACTGCGCATAAAGCATATCTGCTGGACCACGTAAGGTCTGGATCAATTGTGTTGCGTTCATCAAGACATTGTATCGATCTTCATCTGAGAGGCTCTTCTGGTATACATTCGTAGCAGATATGAGTTGATTCAAGCTCTGCTGGAGAGCCTCATCTCTGTGGGCAATGGTTCCCATCTTGCAGAAACGATACGCACTATCGGGGATGTTGGAGGTGAGGTAGAAGGAAAAGTAAACTGTAGGATACTTGGGCAATTGAGATGACCCGAGTGCTTACTTATAGCATAGGCTTTCGCGCAGGCCTTACTCGAGCAGTGACCAGCCCATGGTTTGATTGAGTTTCGCATTACCCGAATTCAGCGCGGTTATGGCACCCTTGCTGAAATACGTGCGGCCGGTAGCACTGTCAGGCTGCGGAATTTGCTATATACAGATTCTTGTGGGTCTATTCTATAGCTAATGAATGGGTCAGATGGCAAAAGTACTGCCGTTACCCACCTACACACGCACGCACACACACATACACACACATACTCTCTCTCTCTCTCTCTCTCCCTCCCTGTCTGTGAGTCTCTGTGTGTGTATGGGCGAGTGAGACACACTGTCTGATGCATTGCTACCGCTGAATTCATGTGGAAATTCCTAGTTATCCCAAGACGTTAGTTACCAAAAGTTGCAAGTCGCATGAAACTTGCAGGTGAAACAGTCTATTGTGAGTCGATCTACAAGAAACGTTCTTCCCCCGATGGCCGCTAATAATCGCCAGACTTATCAGAAGTAAAACTGGCCAATCAATTATAATGTTTCCAAGGGACGGTGTGTCAATTGGATGGCATCAGCTTCTTAGTAGTAGTAGCCGATATTGAGACATATGTGCATGGGCTTTGGGAAAAATAATCCGCTATTTTCAATTGGGCTAGGGAGCTGCTGGGCTGTTCTAATCGTCTCGTTGACGAGTCATATGCTTGCCATCTAATGATCCCTCAATATAAGGCAAAAAGTTTCACCATGCAAGTTTATCATTTCATCGGGATATTGCTCTAACGGGGGTTCGTGGCGTACATGTGCAAACCCCCCTTGCAAGAAGTTGCGTACTTGCCGAGCATTCCCTTGCAGGCAGGATAGAGGCAGTGCCTGCGTGGACATTTCCCCCTCGAACCAATCCTACAGCTATTGTATGCAAGAAAAACAAGTTAACAGTGATCTCCATCGGAGAGGATGTTGTTTTTATCCATTCAAAGCAAAACCTGGTCACGAAATTTTCGTGGTGGGTGTCACTATACTCCTGCATACTTCCGTTAGGATTCCGGCATCAAGGAGCCGAAGAAGACTACAATGCATTGCTACGGCTCAGTCTTTTCTCCGTTGGGTTGTTTTACTAAGTACTACCCGGTTATTGAAGGCTAACACTGGTACTCAGCGTACAATCAGGTACGAACGATTAACCCCTTCTATCAATCTATATCTTGGCACTAGAGATTGGTAATGACTAAGTAGGGTTGAACCGGCAACTTGGCCCTTGGGTTGGGACTGCTGCCGGTAACCCTCCCCATATAGTAAAGCTATTGATCCTTCCTTATCGGGCCTACTGAATACTGTTAGCTGTCCCTGGAATGCTCCCATTTCTCCTAAGACCCCTCAAGCCGTCATTCTGGTAACCTAACTTTGGCCAGCATCTGAGACCGTCGCATTATACTCCACAATGTGGCTGTGATCTTCACAGATCCAGTCCACTAGTGATCAAAGGACCGGAACGAAGAATTTGAGCGGTCAATTGCTTTAAGCTAGCTAAGCCACCCAGATAAACTTTAAAGAGACCTTATAGTTATGTCTCCAAAGGACCTAGAAAGCTAACGTAGTTAAATAATTGGTGTATATGAGTCAGCATTCCTATAGGCGCATAGATCGAGCCACGCCACGCACGGGCTCGGCTTGGCGATGCTTTCAGAGGTAGTACCTTCTACACGCAGGGATGGTGCTAGTATGGGTTGCACACAAGGGAACTCGTTTGCCAATGGAGGGCAAAGTACTATCCTTGGATTAAGTAGTGAGTCCGACCCTTGATCTAGCTTCAAATCAGCCATATTTGACCGTTCAACTGTCATACAGCAGTAGTAGACACAAACAGAACTTCCGCAAGCTCTCTCCCCCACCTGAAGGGACTCCAAACTTAGATCCTCCTGGTCCAACCATCGATCTATACGGTCAGTTTTGGCTGTGTGGCGCAGCGACACTGGTCTTGACTACTCGGCTTCACACACACACACACACACACACACACACACACACACACACACACACACACAAACACGCAGTCATTTAGTGTTGAGACATCTGAGTCACCCCTGCTGCTTAGTGGCCAATAATATATCGTTGTAGTCTACTTGACAGAAATCTGTTTTGACAAAAAATGTACATGTTCGCGATGGTCAGTAGATCAGAACATAGTATTGACAATGTAATTGGTCTCTTACCATGTTGTGTTATATACCAGCTGCTTTGCATGGATATTTAATATTCAATATCTTCAGTATAATTAGTATGTCTAAAAATCCGATTGCATCTTGAATGATGATGCTGACGAGAATGGGTTGTCGAGGGCGGATATAGGGTACACATCTGAAATTTGTAACTTGATCAGTTGACAGCAATTTAGAAGGTAAGTTGTTATTGCTTCAAGTCTTCTCATTTTTACCCTTACTTACTTCAATAATATAATCTCGCAGAAGAAGACGTATACTCCCCGAATGTCTCGTTGATGAACGAGACATCCATCCTCCTGTTTTCCCTCCGCCTTTGCCCGAGAAACGCTTCCGCCAAATCATCTACGCTGTTATGGTCTCCGTTGCGGCATACAGTCTACATTTACCCGATGGCCGCTATCACCCGCCGTATACAGTCTACCATATTTCCTTGTCTTCACACTGGGCTGTCAATCCCACAAGACACAGAAACTCTCGCGGCGCGACTCAGGAGAATTGATGGCACAATGTTCGGGCCTATTGCTGGCGCTCGACCTCGATCTATGGTCGTTTCCAACAACGAAGAGTTTATACAAAATAAAAGTACTTAATGATGTACATAGAATGACTACGGATGCGCCATATAACTTCCTCGAAAGGTATAAAGGTATGTTTTTATGTTCTTCAGTATATACCCACTAGTCTTAACCCCCGATTACTCTGCCTATAGCTAGGAAATAGCCAGCGCCTGTCCCGCAGGTTCTGCATCCCTACCCTCTCTCTCTACCTGTGACGAGTATTCACATTCCCACCGCCACCAGAAATAGTTCCTTCTTGAGTGTTGGAGGCCCAGATGGGGCTGTCTTTAGACTGTAAAGTACGATGGTACCGTCGTCCTGCACGATACAGTAAACACTGCTGTCGCCCTTGGGGTGGGCAGTCTCCGTATGCCAGCTGATCTCCCCTCTGATGGTACTTTCCAGAGTAAATTCATATTAGTCAAATATACAAGATCTATCCGGGTTTCCGCCTAAGTAGTTGCCTCAAAAGCTGGAGGAATAATAGTCCTGGTAGGCTCTTTGACAGAACACTTCATCAAATTGGCTGATCTTACACCAGCTATTCCCAAATAAATAGAACTGATGAGCCTGTATGGCCCTACGTAGAGTCCAAATAGGGCCGCCTTTATCAACTAGGTTGATGTATGCTACAACATCGGCTACCCTACAATCAAAATCTTATATTAGAGTTGAATATAGACTATAACTCCCTAACGCTGAGAAGCTGGAGGTATTACGGAAACTTTGTAGACTTATACTTATTCCCAGGGTTTGCTCTGAGATTCAGCTTTTCGGTGGCGGCATTGCACCCCCAGATGAAGACTTTAGTAATCATACTAAAAGGCCTTTGCGGCCATCTTCTTATTGATTTCAATCATTATTTTGGTAGATTAAATCTTGATCTGACTAAATACATGACATCGATATTGCGTGACAATTTGTGAGACTTGGCCTTGAAGATGACAAAAGGAAGAACTGCCTGTCTACTACTGTTGACTGTCCTATAACGCATCTACAACGTGTAGGAGATGCCTTCACTTATATTATTCTATTTATGACTACCCGGGACCGAGAGATCAGTTGTTATGAAAGCACAAATTTGATGTCAATCAATGATAGCGAATAGTAATGGATCAACAAGTTAGAGACAGGGTACAGTGCAAGTCAATGAAGAGCATAGGGAGATACCTGGCTTGGTAATAAAGAAAGATAACCTAGGAGCATAACTACTTAGAGAGCAGCTGTATGAATCGATGTGTTAGGATGGTCGCATCTCATGCAGTTTGTGGGCTGACAGATTCGCCGATCGATCTCTCACAGGGCACAATGGGCGTAACGACATCGAAGTGGTGCGCGATGCTCACTACTAGGCTCATTATCTCACTCGCATGCAATCCTTCCCTTGTAGGCACTGCGCCCGCGGAGATTATATGGTTTCTCACTTCCTGTTGTGCAGCTTGCTTATCTTTATTTTCCTGGCTGATTTCAGGGTCTACAGCCACCTCATTAGCATAGGATTCAATGGGATGATGTGATGATGCGATGATGAGACCTCACGACCCAGGGCAGGACTTGAAGCACAGCATAGCCATGGTCATGCTATTTGACCAGGATTATCTCTCTGGATACACAGTGGCAAATTCCAGCCGTGGGCGGGATCATGTCCAAGGCTGATCTAGGCACCTATGAAGCAAAAGTGTAGTGAAACGCGGAGTTGGCTTGCATCATTGCTGTGCTAATCTTTCATTGCTGTGCGCATCATTGTTACTCGACCGTGCTGATTGCATGCCAAATTCCTATCTATATCCTACCCCTCTCAGCAGTGGAGGAGCATAAGCAGGTAATACCGTGTTGGCGCACACGCCATGCGGCTATTCCTTCCCGTTGTGGTACAGGTGGACACCCGGGCCTCAGGGCAAGGCCGTGTATCGCCAGATTCCAGCTGTGCAGGGTCTATCTGCATTGATATGACAAGTGCGAATTGGGTGATCTGTACCCATGCAAGAGTTCCATGATGCGTGGGAGCCTTGCCCGACATGAAGTAATGTGTCTCAGTTGGTGCTTGACTTTACGACCCGAATGGTACTGGAACTGACGTTGGACTCAAGGCCGTTGAGTGACAGCATGGTCCCTTGGCTGATCTGTGAGATATATGCTCGCATTACGCGGTAGGTCTGAGACAGCCACACCAATTCTTCTTCCCGTATTGACGATTTGACGATACATCATGATATCCTATCTGAAAACCGGCTATCCACTCGTGGTGACGTTGGCGCTGTGTAACGTGCCGAAGTTAATCTAATTATAGTTGGTTCTACAATGATCCTCATCATTGTGGTAGCCGCCTCTAACGCGGCCTTTGCAACCTCAAATTGTGTCTTGCATTGAATAATCTGATGAAGCAGCTCGTTCAGACGATGAGTAGAGCAGTCTGGATCCGATACGTTCGATGACGCATGTACACATGGCAAGGGAAGATGTAAGGCTTTCCGCCCAGAATCAGCATTACGAGAAAAGAACCAACATACCTTCTTATCCGGGGTTCCCTTGCAGCTTGCATAACCTGACCATCGGTCATGTTGCTTCTCAGAACTTGACATATCCATTGTCTTCGTGAAAGGTAGGTCATCAGAGCTGCTTATTCGTCAGGTTTCTTATGCCTTCGTAAAGTCAGCATCTAGGTCGTATGCGCGATATGCATGGGTTTTGGACGCCTAATACTGCACCAGACATATAAGAACTTCCTCTCTGGCTTTGTGGAGGCATCATTTTCAGGCTTCATTGTACCATCAGATCCATCAGTCTCGATCGCCGACTTCTTCTAGTAATCTGAAAACTAAGATATCACCTCCAAAATGCAGTTCCTCCTCCTCCTTGCCGCAACTTTGAGTCTCGGTGCAGGAACTCTGGCTTCCCCTGCGCCAGTTCCTGATAGCCTTGACTCGCGGGCTTATCATTGGCATGGTTGTGGCGCCGGTATTGAGGTATATCTTACATGTTTGCATCTACCTTTAGAATAGATGCAAAGCTAGACCACGAGTTGTTACTGACTCTGCTTGAAGTGCCACTCTGACAGTGACTGTTGGGCGTCCGAAGATTGCGTACAGACTGCCCTTGGTGTAAGTGTATTGTGCCAGTCTATATAGTTACAAAAGAAACTGACCTCGTATGTGCAGAGCACCGCCAATATCCACTGTGGACAAGATAGTTACCCCACGGCTTGCTGGGCGGTAAGCAACAATCCTTTGGCCTTCTCCTTTTCTTTTTGCCCTTAACCTTTCTTTCTATCCCTCTTCGCTATAAGGTGTTGAGTATGGTGCTCGATGTTCTGACAGCCCTCTGTAGGATTGGACCGATTAAATGTTGAGCCTTGGGCTTCTGGGTCAGGGTTGGTTTGCATCAACGGCGAGCTGCGCGACGGTCACAGTTGGGAAGGTTTCCTTAAGACAATTAACTTTCTCGGGGGATATGGTTATTTTGTGACATACACTCTTGTTGCAGAAAGAATAATTAGTGGCACATCCTAATCAATTTGGACGCTCGAAGGCCATTCCATGCCTTTCTGGTTCCAGAAGAGCAACAGAAGTCTAATAAATAAAAGGCCATTAGCTAAGATCAGAATTATTTGGCAATTGTTGCAATTCCTACGTATGTTTCTGTCTTCAATCAATAACATTTCCATTACTGGAGCGACCATTGCGGAGTCGACACAGCCGAAGTGGATTGTGCATCGTTCATAAGTCGGTTATTATTGTATGCAACTTATCGCTGAATCAGCGCTCGTGCAGCTTGGATTGATTTAACTAAACGGAGAGGATGTCCCGATGCTTGATTTAGCTATTCAACACAGCTGGATTTCTGGAATATTGAGCTTGTTGATTTTGGTCTGCAGGAAGGTGAACGAATGCAGGTCAGATTTTCCAGAGCGCTTGGTTTACCTTGAGCCCTCTTGCTTGTACCCATCCACCCAAAAGCCAAATAGTTGACGTCCATTCAGAAGTTAGCGGCATATAAGTGCAAGAACACTGTGGAAGATTGGTGTCCTGCGTACAGCATTTAGGCAGATGCATATCGGGGTACGGGGCTGAATTATCGATGAGAAGCTCGCTGTGGGCGAAAAGAGAACCTCATATCTACATGCATCCCGGTGCTTTTCTAATAAGAAAACAGCCCATAGCCGGCTCCATCTCAACTACTCCGAGCTGTAAGCCCGATCCGCCATAACTGATAGGGAATTGGGCACAATGGACATCTAACATCGCAGCCCTTATATCCTTTGGAGCAATCATTGCTCCCGTTTTACCTTTCATAAATCATATTCCAAGCACGACGGTACTATTTCCGTTTGACAGTACAATATTCAGCTACGAAGAGCCGATGGTACCCGGACGCAAGATACTCTCGGAGTAATAACTCCGGGGTGGCGTACATTGGGCTGCTCCGTAACCAGTAAACAATCTATCTTGACGCGCACTATTTCCGAAGCAAACTTCAGTCATGAATGCAGAACGGAGCCTGCCAGCTTCTACAAGTATAGTCGGCTTGGTTGGGTATAATTTCAGTGTATTGTTTCTCCTCTCCTTCCCTCTTACTCTTTTCTTCCTGTGTTGTCCAAATTGATATTAATGGGCGGTAAGGATTGAGCCTTCAAGAGCGGGATAATAAATATTTGCTACCGGTTTTCAGAACAGACAAACTTTTTTTTTCATAGCAAGAGGTAATTGAGCTCTATGCTGTACTAAAAGGGACTACAAGGGTCACCTGGAGCTTAGGGCACGCTATGCTGCAATATGACTAACGCGCAACCCAGAACTGGCGAATGTGAACTTGACTATAGCCGGATGTCTGGCTTCCAGGTATTGATAGAAGCAGCAGCAGAGCACGCTTAATTATGACTTGTGATGTGTCGGTCCAGACGGCCTATTAATGAAGAAAGCGAGCATCCGATTCTACGGCTGGAGAAACTCAAGCATGGCACTTTGAAATCGGACCAGCCAGTATGTCAGTCCGCTGGAGCTCACGGCTTTCTGGAAGTTTGGCAACTCTAGTAATATCTTGAAATCCACCACTTGCAATCAAGCGCAATCAGAAAGGAATGTCTTGCGCATGAGTCGGGTTTGTCATGTGTTTGACCACAGACAATGGTGCAGCTCGCTGAATTCTCATTCTTCGTCTTTGGCTTCTAATTTAATCCTATATTGGTCAGTTGAGTATCCCATATTTTCCTTATGATGTGGATATAAAACCCGTGAGACCTGTCCGGAGACAGAACCGCCCTATTCCTCTCAGTCACTTCTTTAGCCTACCCTGTCGCTTTTCTGTTCAGCCTCAGCACAATGGAAGCCTTTGATCTCTCCGTTGCTCCCCCGGAATTCGCGGTCTGGGGGCCAACAGTCTATGCCCTTAATGCTTACACCAACGTGATCTGGCTCTATGTGTACTATGGCATGATATACCGATCTTACAAAGACAAGTCCTTCGCCATGCCACTCATTTGCCAGTGTCTCAACATCGCATGGGAGATCACCTTCGGTTTTCTATTCTCTCTAGACCACTGGTTAGTCAGTCTTACCTTCCAAGTCGCAGTGGTAAGCAACCTTGGCGTCATCTTCGCGGCAATCAAGTATGGGTCCAGAGAATGGGATCGATCACCTATGATACAACGCAACTTGCCTTGGATATATGGCGGTGGGATATTACTAGCAATTGGGGGGCATGTTTGTCTTGCGTCAGAGCTCGGCATGGTGAAGGCTTGCTTCGCGAACGCAATTGTATGTCAGGTTATCCTGAGTGTTGGATATGTCAGTCAGCTGTTGGTTCGAGGAGCCACGCGTGGATTTTCCCTTCAATTATGGTTCGTATGCCCATGTCTCGAAGACAGACAAAATAGGAATTGTTGAAAAGAGGCTAAACTTCGAGTCAGGTTCTTCCGGTTTACGGGCTCGTTGACTCTAATCCCGGAGTTTTACCTCCGTATTAAGTACTGGCCTGAGGCTTTTGGATGGCTGGGCGAGCCTTTTATGCTCTGGTGCTGTTATCTCTATCTCGGTTTTGATCTGGCATACCCAGTGCTTTTCTGGTATATACAACGACGAGAAAAAAAGGAGGCGTTGGCCAAGACTCTCAAGGACAGGTAGCACTTTGCCTTGATAGGCTAAGGGAGAAGATGATAAGATGTTGATAGCTGGTAGAGGTTTGGGGGCTACCTTTATAAAGTTGTACTTGAGGCGATTGTATCTGTTAGCAGGTAGAAGAGGGCTACATGGGGGTTTCTTTTCTTTTGTGTGTGTGTGTGTGTATTTCCAGGATTTTTGTCCAGTCCTAATCGTTATTAGTTCTTGGAATTTCTAGCTCACTTTGCTACTTACAAGCTGTAATATATCTTTCTCATTCTTCTTCTCCGCAAGATTTGATGAATGGCAGATGCTTTCCAATCCAAGTTATCTGATACCGTCTCCCCCGCATACTCTTTAGAAAGCTATCCGAAGCCTGACCGTTCTCTTCTCAGAATAACCACGTTTGTCTCAAGTGACACCAATATTTAGTATATATGGGTCCCTACACAGGTCTAGCAGGAAGATAAGGACATTTCCAATATAAGCATTCGTTCGACAGATATTGTATCATCTTTATCATCGAGACCTTTCCTATCTCTTTTAGGGTGGCCATTTAACTCATTCAAAATTCAGTATATTTATTATATGAAAGAGAAAAGGGTTAGATGGATTATCTGAATATTTCTAGAGCATCGAATCACTATGAATGAGAGACTCCTTAAAAAAATCTCCTGTGTAAATCAACAACCTTAATCATGCCTGAAGGTGAGGTGAGTGTTGTCCAACCTCGGCCCACAAGGCTGTGCTGTGGATGTACGTATTAGTTGTCAGTGGGGGCCAGACAGACAGGAATCGACCAGACTAGACTAGACTAGATCAGACCAGACCAGACCCTTAACACCTACTAACTCAGTAATGTAGGGTACTACATAACGAAAGTCATCCATCTCCCAAAAATTGCCAACTAATCATTGATCTCAGGTCAGGTGCTAATATTCACTCACAGTAATGTCAGTGACTGACTGACTGATTACTGCCTGGTCATCCTTGATGCCTGCTGAGCGGGTGTCTACTTTAGACTTTACGGGTCAGGAGATAACTAACCTACTTAGTAGATAGATAGATAATCTCCACTAAAGACTGGTGGACGTCAGGGTTCCATGGGTACACCAACGGTTAGACCCGTGGGTTTTTCCCTGGGTGAGTAAGTAAATAGTGAGCGGAATTCTCCTATCGCGTAGTGGAAATGAATTAAGTAACAAACAGGGTAAGTGTCTATCGATAAAGCAGGGGAACCTGAAGTTGGTGCAGGATGGTGGAGAGAGTGATGACTGGCGTGGGTGGCGCTTTAGACGCCCAACCTCTTTCTCTCATTCACTCACTCACTCACTCACTCACTCGCACAATGGAAGATGCCGTCTTCTGGACGGGAATGCTACTATAAACTACTACCAGCATCCATCCACTAACATCTGTTACAGTAGTTACTTAATTGTTGGGATGAGATTCCTACTTTCTATAGCTAGACTAACTACCTACACAACACTACACTACAGTTTCAATAGCCGCCCACCGCCATGTCAATTGTTCTATAAACAGGATGTTTAATTCGACTCCCTAGTAGTAGTAGCTTCAGCGCTTCTGCACGAAGGGGGGTCGAGCTTCGCGTAAATTCGAGGACTCTCTGCCTATGATCGAAGACACCAGTGGGAAAGTACCTGAATCCCATCCTTAATTGTCGCCGCCCGCAGCTGATCCCCAAGGCGGCCCAATCTTTGCCAATCCCCCACTTCAGCTGAGCGAAGCGCCCGCGTTTACGAGGCACGAGGGGCCGGTTTTTTCTTGTTTTCGCTCTTATTATTTGATCACTTCTTCTTCTCTTTCTCTTTTCTTCTCTTTCTTTTTCCTCTTTGTTCATTTTCCACCTACTTCTTCACTTCCACTTTGACATCCATCGTCAAAACATCTTGAATTACAGCAGCATCAGCATCTTGTTCTGCTCGAGATCAGGGTTGCCAGCCTCCGCCACACTCACGGCTGATTTGCTGCCCACTTATCGACGTCACACCCCACCAGCCTATTCATCTGACCTCTACTACTATACTATCCACGCACACAGCAAATTGCCCATAATCAAAGAAGAGGGAGGCGGGATATAGGCGGAGCAGAAACATAACCAAAAAAATCACCGCCATGTATTCCTCCTATCCTAGAGGACGTCACCTCCTCACCGATTCGGAGTCTGAGTTCTCCGAATCGGATTACTCCATGGTAGAGACGACTCCACGCCGGAAAGTCACTACTCGTCGACGCTCCATCTCCCGCCACCGCTGGAGCCCCGAACACATCCATAGTAACACCTACCTCAGCCCCGTGATCCATGACCACCACGCGCCTCAACGCTCCGCCTCCACGGGCGCCCGTCGTCGCCCCGATCGTGAGCGCGAGCGCGAACGCAACAACAACCAGCCCGTCGCCGTCATCGTCGACGTCCATAACAAGTATGACGCCAAAGCCGACGCCAAGACAGATGCGAAGAGCGATGCCAAGAATGACGCTCGGAACAAGAGTGCCACCAAGAACCGGAAACAGGAACATAAGATGCAGCAGAACTACATCGATCCCTACGAGTCGGAGGATGAGACCAGGTTGCGGGATCATCGCCGAGCTCGCACTCGCCCGAGTAGTATCTCCCGGGAGGCGTCACCGCTTCCACCTACAAGGGACTATGAGCTGATGCTCGATACGCGGTTCCTCGAGAGGAATGACGCCCGTCAGGACCTTGAGCTCCTGCGTCATCAGCAGGAGATCGCCCGTCTAGAGCGGGAGCTGGCTCGTCATCGTGAAACTTCCCAGCATCGTCAACAGCAGCTGCAGCCGCAGCCGCTGCAGCCTCCCCCGCCTCCGCCGGCACCGGAGCATGAGCACCGCTCACCTCCTCCTCACCATCACCACCATGAGCTCCGGCTGCTGAGGGAGGAGGACCTATACGAGGACGAGATCAGTGAGCGGCTGCGACGGCTGGAACGGTACGAGAAGAAGCAGCGCATGGAAGAAGAGCAGCGTGAGGCAGAGCATCGCTACCAACTGATCAAATTCGAAGAGGCCCAGCGGAAGGCTGCCGAGCAGGAGGAGCTCAGCCAGAAGATGCGTCAACGGCAGCTGGAAGAGATCCAGCGCAAGATGGAAGAGGAGGAGGAGAAGGAGCGCATCAGGAAAGAGCTTCGTGATGAAGAGGCCAGGCGGATCCTGGCTGAGCAGGAGCGCGCCCGCAAAGAAGCTGCGATGAAGCAGGCCGCTATCGAGGAGTGGAAGCTCAACGAGGAGCGGAGAATGATTGCCGAACGGGAAGAAAGAAAGAGACGTGACGCCGAATTCAAGGAGAGACTACGACTCGAGTTCGGCTACGACGAAGAGCAGCTAGAGAAGATTATCAAGAAGGAGAAGGAACCCGAGAAGCCCAAGGAGCCAGAAAAGCCCAAGGCCGAGCCTGAGAAGCCAAAGGAACCTGAAAAGGAGAAGGAGAAGGAGAAAGAGAAAGAAAAGGAACCTGAGCCCCAACGGACTACCTGGATCAAGGTATGCAATCATCCCTACACCTCATAACCCTATTAAAGTCGTTCATCTACTCACTGACGCAGGTCCACCGCAAACATCTTCTCCCCGACACACTCATTGCCTACCGTCTACCCTGGGACTGGGACGAGGTAAGTTGGAACCCTAAACACTCTAGATACCGTCGACGATGACTGACTGTGAACAGCTCGACGGCAACTACATCATCATCAAGCAGTGGATCTCCGAGGATTTCCAGGAGGAGCTCTTCGCTCACACGCGGCGTCTGCGTGAGGGCAAGCTTGTTGCTCAGCACTCGAGCACCCTGACCGAGCTGAAGGTGAATGATCGAAAGAAGGACAAAATGTACCTGGTCCGCAAGAAGAACCCTGGTGCACGTGCTTGGATCTTCACTTGATCCCGCAGATTTTGACGCGCTACGAAGTGTGATACCACGTTTTGATTAGTCTGGTTTGGTTCTTGCTTTCTCTTGCCTCGTCTGTCAATATTTTGTTCTCTTGTTCATTTTCACGGCTATCCTATACAAGATCATGTTGGCATGATGATTTATCGAGTCATGATGTTTTCATTTTTCGTTCCATGAGTTGGGATTTGAACAGTTGCTATATATATGATACAATGATGATGATGATGACCAAACGTCGACCCATGCAGTCCGTATCCGAGGCCCTTTTATACCCATAACAATGACAAACTCCGGCCCGAACAAACCCCTTCCCTTATAAGGCATCTAAAACAAAGAACCTTACTATAATCTACAGACAGCCTATTCTCCCTTTGATCCCCACTGGACTTCGGCCCTCAGAATCAACTCCTCGTAGACCGTCCACGCAAGCGCAGAACTAAGCGCTTTCCGCGTAATCCGCAGCCCCAACCCGCCAAATAGACTTCTTACTCCATCCTCCTGCACCATCAACCTCACAGCCCGCATCATGTTCCCATACCGCCCCGGCATCAGCTGCAACCGGGTCTTAACAGCATCGAACGGGTTTGTAATGGTAGTGGCCAGCCCGGCCGCCAATCCCCCAGAGACGAAATTGATTGATGACGACTTCAGTGGCTGCTGATCAGACGAAGAACCTGATAAGCCCGCCAGTCGCCGTTTCAACTGCTCGTAAAACAAAACGTATAGTCCCGCATACGGCGCATCACGCGCCGCTGTAGCTCCAAATCCGGAAAACAGGCCCCGGAATCCCTCTGTCCGGACTATATCTCGCCCCGCGCTGAAGAGACTCCGATAGGCGTAGTAATCTGATTCGTAACGAACTTTTAGCACGGTCACTGGCATCATGACGAAGCCAGCAGCAACCCGGGCGGCAGCCCCGGTAGCTAGATTGGCGGTGTTGGACAGTTTGGGCAGTGCGGAGGAGCTATTGGTGACGGGAGCAATGCCATTTGTTTGAGCGAGACCCGTGCGAAGGGCGTTGAGGCTCGTAAAATACAGTGCTGAGCCGAAACCCGTGCGAAGGGCGGAAGGGAGTGTACCACGCCATAGATTGCGGATTGGATTCGGAGAGGAGAGGATGGCCTTGAGGGTTGGGAGGAGGGAGGCGTTTTGAGATTGTTGTACACGGGTTTTGAGGAGATCGGCGGGTTGAAGAAGGATGGAAGAGGTAAGGCCCGAGAAGAGGCCTGCGGTGAAGTGGAAGGTCGTCTTGGAGGCTGTTTGATTGATTGATTGATGGTTAGGGTTTACTCAATGGAGAATAGTAGATGAGTGGCCATACACGTTGAGGTGGTTTTCACCTGCGGTACAGCATAGACCGCATTGTTCGACATGGCTTCGGATCCCGCAGCCAGTGCTAAGAATGTGTATAGATAGAGGAGTGATTTGAAAAAGCACGCGTGATGAGATCAACTCATCCGGGGCACTGCACGGCAATGGCTGGAGAAGATTTTGAGATTTGAGACAGACCGCTTGAAGCGGTGACGGTCACATTGATGGTAATCAGGATAGCATGGCAAAAGCGAAGAGGCGTAGTTCAGGTTTTGTGAAGACGATAGGTGATAAAAATGACTTCTCAGCGAGTGTAAGAAAGAGAAAGGGAAAATTTGTGACAGACGGTGTAGATACGAAGCGGTAGACTCGTTCCTTCCCAAAGCGGAGGGCCGTTGGTGAAGTCATCTGGCGCCGGGCGGAAAGCATCTCGATTGGCTGCAGATCACCAGCCACAGTTGCCGCGGCCGTCGCCGCCTCTCAACTTTCCGATATCTCCGGCGTAAGGACCTGCCAAAAGAGGCATACAACAGGTACAGGTACAGGTTCAGGTTAAAGTTAACGTACCTGTACAGTGACTGACAGGCACTGAAGAAATACTGGGATGGGTGTTGTGTCTACCTCATCATATCATACCCAACAACCAGGCCTATCGCTGCTCACTGCTAACCAACCAGTAATGCTAAATACGTTCAGTACTACGGAGTATTAGCAGTAGTCACAGGGCTGATCATGTCGAAATACGGAAATTTTCAGCAGGAAAATACTAGGTAGGCTGCATTTGGGCAACGTTAGATAATCCAATCCACGAGCTTTCTCCGAGCAGGTGCCGTCTTAAGCACTTGACAAAGTGAGACATAGGGAGGCACTACGGCCAATGCATGCAGAAGAATGCAGGTTGTTAAAACACCATTCCATTCATTCCACTTGGCCACGCTCACGGCGGATGTACTTACTCTGTAATCTTACCGCCCATTGTTCCCGGCGGCAAACCGCTCAGGCCCATCGAACCAATAGGGACCCCGTAAATGGCGGGTGACATACCTTCCTCCGTACTTAACCGTCACATTCACGCCGGTTCGGTTGGACGTTAGGCGACTGGGCTGCAGATCGGGCGTATTAGTCGACGTCACGGTTCATGGGGAGCCGGTAAGGCAGAGTAACTGGTAAGTTCGATGGCCACCCTCACTTGTCAAACTTAACTGCCCTGTCTTTTCCTTTCCTCTCTTTCGGGAATCTGGCCTTTCTTCAAGAGTTACCCCTGCTATGCCCTCCTGCTCGTAACTCCCGTCGTTCGATTGTGGTCCGCCAGAGACGTCACCAATCCCTCCACCCTGCGGAGAGCTGAGCTGAGTCTCCGTCACCCATCATGCCTCTCTCATCCTTCCTTCCCCATATTCCATATCCACCCTCCAGAGAAGGATATTGGAGTCCCGTCACATCTACGCTGAATTGGTGCGAGGAGGTACGCGCGCGCTCAGTTTCACTTCATTCTTTGGTCACACTCTTACTATTACAATAAGTTGCTAACCATCATGCGAACGAGATAGGATTACTATGCCACCATCTACTCCGCAGAGATCGTCAACACGCTGACAAACCTGCTGTTTATGGCCCTTGGAATCAAGGGTTTTCTAAGTTGTCGTCGCAATGGACATGACTCGATCTTCCAGGTCGCTTACCTTGGCTATCTGCTGGTCGGAACTGGAAGCTTCCTCTTCCATTCAACATTGAAATGTAAGTGAGGTATTATAGTGGGGGAGGGGTAGCCTGTATTGGTCAGAATTGCTGATTCGCGCATGAACCATACAGATCCCATGCAGCTGGTCGATGAACTGTCCATGATATACACCACGTGTCTGATGTGCTATGCGTCCTTCTCATACTCCAGACCGAATGGCTTTCGCATCGTCCTGGGTATCTTTCTTGCCAGTTTGGCGATCTTCATCACACTTTATTACCACTACCTCCAGGACCCCCTGTTCCACCAGAACGCATATGGCATCTTGACAGCCATCGTCCTCATCCGCAGCATGTACACCATGGAGGTGACGCTGCGTCCTCGCTGGCGTCATTCGACGGAGGAGGACAGACTTGCGCGCGAGAAGCAGGGCCTGCCTGTTCCGACCAAGGAACACCAGCATTACGAAAATGTACGGGACATTAAGACTCTCAAGACCATGTGGTTCATGGTTATCTACGGCTTGAGCGTGTTCCTGGGAGGGTTTGCCATTTGGGGCTTGGACAATGCCTTCTGTTCGAAGATTCGCGGATGGCGCCGGCAAGTGGGTCTTCCCTGGGGTATCCTACTGGAAGGCCATGGTTGGTGGTATGTTTCGCGCTGACACCCTGCGTGCTGTCCCTGCATACTAATTCATCTACTAGGCATCTGATGACTGGCCTTGGGGCCTATATGTACCTCGTTTGGGGCATCTGGCTCCGGCATTGCTTGAACAACCGCCAAGAGGAGTACCATCTCTGGTGGCCTCGCTTTTGGAACATCCCCGAGGTTCTCCGCACCAGCGCCCCAGGCAAGGGCGCGAACGGAGTGGCCAAGAAGTCAAATTAACAGGACTCACTCATACCCTTATTTCTTTGGTGTTTTAGACCTGACCTCTTGAGGAGTCTCGAGGACTGGAGCTTCGGGTGCTTCTCTACGTCAGGATGATCGCTCACTTACAGTTTGTTGATCGAGTTGCTTATAGACCTGCTCTGAGCTGCTCAGAAGTATACCATTATATCCTATAGATAAGAAATTGAAACCAAGAGATAAATATAGATCTCTTTATCGGGGTATTTCCTTGGATACGCAAGTATCTCGCTGGACACGTATATACGTAGGTCTTGCTGAATGGACACTGTCTATACAACCGCTGGAGTAGTGTGCGATCTTTATCCACAAACGAACAACCGACCATTCACAGCTTTGACTTGGCAGGGCTCTTCTTCGGCCGTTCAGGACGCGGAACATGCTCCTTCCACCGGGAATCGATCGTGACCTTCTCGACCCTTGACTTCCGACTCCACTGTTCCTGGAATTCTCGCTCCTCGGTTCTCCATCGTTCCAGCTCAGCACCCAGCCATTTACTCGCCGCATCGGCACACTCTTTGGGAGCCTCCTGAGCAAGCAGATGGCCATATTCAGCAAGATAAACATCGCGCACCCTACCAGCAGGAGCCCCACCACTGCCCCCCAGCCCCGTTCCCGTAGCAGCCATCTTATCCGCCATCATCTCAGGCAAACACATATCTGATTTACCTCCAAAGATATAGCAGACACTGGGACGAAGATGCGGGAGCATAGCGAACACCCGTGACGGTTCTGGCCGGTAAAATGGCCATGAGCCCAGATGGTCGGGATTAAGATCCGGATGGGTCACTTTGTTCACGGGAACCTTCTTTCCCGGGGGCCCATCGTAGTTGGGACGCGAGAAGGTGAAGACTTCTTGGTGGAGGGTTGTTCTGAGCGTGACGGGACGGTCCTCGCTTCCCTCCTTTTGCTGGGATTCGTCTAGTGGGTGAATAGCCGTGGGCAGCTCACGGAGACCGTGCTCGATCCAGCGGTCGAGCACGCGGGAATCCCATGCTAGGTAGAATGGGTTTCGCTTGAAGGCCTCCGCGGCGGCTTTGCGGGATGGCCATGTGTCTCGTCGATAGGTGGATAATTGGGTCGTTTTAGCGATCCGTTGTCTCTGTCGCATGGCCATCTCGAGCCCGTCAAGCTGGGTAGATTCACGTTGTATTACGGGGTCCAGGAGGACTAGGCTGTGGATGAGACGTGGGTGCATAAGGCATAGCTGTGCGCTGTTGAGGAATGTTAGTCTTTCAGTTCGTGGTAGGTTTAGGTTGGGAAAACATACAGATG